AAAAAAAAAAAAAAAAAAAAAAATTAGATGGGCGTCTGTAATCTCAGCTACTCAGGAGGCTGAGGCAGAAAAATTCCTTGAACCCAGGAGGCAGAGGTTGCAGTGAGCCACAGCTTCAGCCTGAGTGACAGTAACACTACGTCTCCAAAAAACAAAAACGAAAAACAAACTACATTTTAACAATCCTCCTCCCCCACCCCTACAAGGAACTCCAGTGCTAATTAAAGTGTGAATAGCATAGTTCCACAACAGAGGTTTTCAATCTGGAAGTCACATTAGGATGATAGGGGGGTTTTCACAAGAGGCAGATTCCCCAGCCCAACCTTCAACCAAGCCAATTCAATTCAGAATGGGAGAGGGGAGCTGAAAGGGAGGAGGAGGATCTGGACTTTATTTTTGGTGCTCAGGTGCTGATGCATAAGTAGGGTTGAGAACGTCTCATTTAGGGGGGTTAAGAGCGTGTTGGGTAGATGGAGAGGAACGCGGGGGCGATGGTGGAGAGGTTATAAAGGGTATGGGGATAAACTAGGGGACTCGAGGGCGGCGATAGGGCTTTAGGGGTACAAGATGGAGCGATGTGGAGGGACAGGGGTGGATGATGCAAGTTTGCACCTGGAGACTCACGCACCGAGGGTCCCGATGAAGAAGGACACGACCAGTACTGGCTCCTTGGCCCAAGCATTCTTGAGGAAGGCGCCGAGTCCTGGAGGAGTGGCGAGGAGGGTCACCCCTGCAAGGGGCTGCACCCGTGACCTCTAACCCTCTCGTGCCACCCCTGCCCTGGAGGAGCCCCCTCGTGGCTTCTGCGTCCCCCTCCAGCACAGACCCCATCGCCTCCACCACTTCGCCGCTGCACCTTAGTCCCAGGACCGCCTGGAGATTCCCGGAACTACCCGAGCCCCGCGCGCCACCGGCACTTGCACTTACTTGCGGCCATCTTGGTCTCGGCGGCGGGGACAGCGGAGAGGACGCGAAGCACTCTGGAAGTTGTGGTCTCTACGCGAGACACCGCTTCCCTGGTTGCGCGTGCGCCCTGGAGCAGAGGCGGAGGCGGAAACCAGGACGCGGAGCACTCTGGGAGTTGTGGTCCCTCTGCGCGAGGCGCTGCTGTCAGAGTCTGCGCGTGCGCACTCGCTCAGCGCAAAGATGAGGCAGCGGTGGAGCAAGCGCAATCCTGACTTTGCGCACCTGCGTGGGATCTCCTTATTTTAGGTTCTTATTTTTAAAACAGACATACAGATATCTTTCTATCTGCCTGTCTGTATTTAAAGACATGGTCTCACTCTATCACCCAGGCTGGAGCGAGGTGGCACTATTTATTTTTTTAGACAGGGTCTCGCCATGTTGCCCAGGCTGCTCATGAACTGGGCTCAAGCGATCCTCCCATCTCTGCCTCCCAATGAGTATTTGTTTCTAGAGTTAAATTAATGAACACCACAGGTTATGACTGACCCCCCTGCTAACTTTTTCCA